ACCACAGTAGACTAGCAGTGCAACAGTAGGGTGAGGGCAGTGCATTGAAAGAGGCACTGTGCTCACCGGACGGGGCTGCTCGGGCGGCTCGGAGGTTGGACGGCTCGGCGGCTCGGCGGCTCGGCTGCACGTCGGCTCGGCTGCACGGCGGCTCGGCTGCACGGCGGCTCGGTTGCTGGGCGGCTCGGCTGCAGGGCGGCTCGGCTGCTCGGTTGCTGGGCGGCTCGGCTGCTCGGCTGCTGGGCGGCTCGGCTGCTCGGCTGCTCAACTGCTGGGTGGCTCGGGCGTGCTGCTGCAGGGCGGCTCGGCGGTCGGCTGCTCGGCGAGGTGAGGCGGCCCGGGCGGCTCAGGTGGCGGGCGGCGCTGCAGCAGGTGACGGGGCCGCAGGGAAGGCGGGTGGGCCGCAGGTAAGGGCGGCGGAGGCCGCAGGTAAGGGCGGGGAGGCCGAAGTTGAGGGCGGCGGGGACCGCAGGTGAAGGGCGGTGGGGCCACCAGGTAAGGGCGGCGGGGACCGCAGGTAAGGGCGGTGGGGCCGCAGGTAAGGGCGGCGAGGCCGCAAGGGCGGCGCGCGGGGTCGACGGGTGGCGTAAGGCGCCACTAGGGCGGCGCGCGGGGTCGACGGGCGGCGCAGGGGGGGGGGGGGGGGGGGGGGGGGGCGCTAGGGCGGCGCGCGGGGTCGACGGGCGGCGCAGGGGGCCGCTAGGGCGGCGCGCGGGGTCGACGGGCGGCGCAGGGGGCCGCTAGGGCGGCGCGCGGGGGTCGACGCGCGGCGCAGGGGGGGGGGGCCGCTAGGGCGGTGCGCGGGGTCGACGGCTCGGCGCAAGGAGCCGCTAAGGCGGCGCGCGGGGTCGACGGGTGGCGCAAGGAGGGGCCGCTAGGGCAGCGCGTGGGGTCGATGGGCACACGGGGCGCGCGCGACTCGGTCTAGTCTGAGGCGCGCTCCGGGCAGGAAAAAAAATAAGTTTGTGGTGGGCCCTAGGTAGCGTTCCCACTAGGGAACCTGCTCTGAAACCATGAGAAGAAACGAGAATGAATGAACTATGAATGAACTGGGTACAAGTACTAACCCTAATTGAGTTGTACCCCCTATGGGATACCCCACTATAGCCTACACAAAAGCAGAAGCTATAATATTCTGACAGGACCTGCCCTGCAAACAAGTGGTCCTCGGGAAAAAAAAACCATTGGGGAAACTGTGGTTGAAGGTGGCTCGATAAGGTCGATGTAAAGAGGGAAGAGAGTGGAGTTCAAACCCTAACGAATGCGTATCTCTGTCGAGTCGTTAGTGATGGTGGGTTGGGGGAGTTTTTTTGCTTCCTGCTGGCAGGAAGAGGGGTCAGAAGGGGGCGGGATATGTTTTTTTCTGGGCAAGCAATGATTGCCCCGAACCACTGATCCCCCGCACCATGCGGGACCTCGAGGCCGCATGGTGCGGGGTGTCCGAAAATGGGCTCTTTGCTAGGGAAAATGGGGTCGTTGAAGAAACGGTGGGTTGGAAATGACATCGGATAATGGGGTGTTAGGTTGGCATTTGTTACGAGTGCAATTGAGTGAATGAACGAGAATTGCACTATCGAAGCAAGAGTACAATGAGCGAAGGCATGAGCGAAGAATATATAGCGAAACTACAGTGGTAACGGTAATGGACTGTGGTTGTCGCGCGACGGGCCTGGGACTGAGGTTTGGGAAAGTGTCGAAATGGAGGCCCGGAGCGCGGGTTACCAACCGAGCCGTGAGATTGGGATGCGGTGTGCGAAAATGGCGGGCTGATTGTCGAGGCGAGGATCGCGAGTGGTAACGGTGCTGACTGTGGTGCTACAGTGCTACAGTGATGTACGCGTTGAGCAGGGATGCGAAGTAAGGAAAAGCGGTTTTCCTTACAACATTCCATTATTGTCAGGTTCGGCATAATCCGCTTATAAAGAACCTTGATAATATTTCACACGCTTACCAGGGAAGGTTCCAGGGTGGTCGGTTCACTGTAGCCCATCCCCCTCCTTTGGTTTTTTTATGCCTGCCAAACTGGGCCCAGGTTCGGGAATATTTATGACAGGTCATATTTCTCCTCACAAAACCCCAAAAACGACTCACGCTCACCTCAAATCATCCCTCCACCTTGTACAAACTGATGCCTGATTGAGCCCCTCCCGGTTGCCTTGTGAAGGGGGCGTATAAGCTGTATCATGCGTTTCGCATAAGTTCGTCAAATTCGCAGCTAGCAAAAAAGAATTCGCATGTGCTTATAAACAAGACCCTGCTACCTAGTTACCTAGTTTGACTTCAGTCTCTTCTACTTGACTTCGGTCTCTTCTGCTTGACGCGCTTGTAATGTGGGTGCATGAAGCTGGGGAAACAACCTCGGGTGCAGCGTGTCCATCCGGCGCAAGGCAAATTCGCGCGCATGGGGTGAGCATCAGCTGTATTCCGTTTCAGAGCACTTCTCATCTCACAAGTCCGCAAGAACAGGACAGAGTGCTTGACTTCTGATTCTTGTACAGACGATTTTGGGGGAGTCCTACCTGCACGTCTCACGCACGATTCGTCAGTCGTCACTCGCGCGGCGCCATTTACAATTCGGCAGCCTGGTCAGGACTGCACTGAGATGTTAACGGCCGGGTGGGACTGTACCACAGTTGTAGCTCACCATAGGAAAGTTGTGTACGCGACACTTACGCACAACCGACAGCACGGCCCTCCGCAAGTTACAGTAATACAACCACTTGTCCGTCAATGACTGACATGACATTCCATTCGACTTTCCGTCAGACGGACTCCGGAAGAGGAGTCAAGCCAAACCCTCTCTCAAGCTCGCAGCAACCATCCAACCCACGCCTGTCTACTTCAGTGAAGCCCTTCGCGGCGGTAGTACATTGTCGACAATACTACCATGTGCTGTCAGTAAAAGTTGTGTGTCTTTTAAAGGAGAAGGGACGCCACACCCGGATTCAAACACTATAGCATCATGTCGCTGTCGTACCAAACCCGGCGCGGCTCGTCACGAAGACCTAATCTCTCCCTGAACCTTTCGACCGTCCCAAGATTTGACGCTGCGTCGGCCGGGCCGCCGGCCCCTTGGCGGGACGTACGAGACCCCGATTCGTCCCCGTGGAGTGCGCGGCTCACGGCAGATCGGCGGCGTCGCGACGAAGCATTGAACATGCCGGCCGGCGGCGCGGCCTCACTTCACCCTACTACCGGCACCACCGCCAATGGTAGCGCCGCAATCTGTGACGCCACTCAGCTCGAGTCGTCGGCAAACGGAGTTTTGCCGCGTTCGTTCGCCGGATCGGCGGGCAGTCCAGGGCCCTCCGGGGAAGAAACAACGAACTTAGGGCCTGACACGAC